AGTGCAGCTTCTCGTACAGGTCGGCCATCTCCATGCGGGCCTGGGTGAAGTGGCACAGCTGCTCGGACAGGTGAGAGAGGAGGTCCTCCAGGGAGGAGGAGGATGATGAGGAGGAGGAGGAGGGCTGGCTGTGGCGGCCCACCGTCGCCACCTTCTTCAGCTCGTTGTACAGCGAGGTGTAGACGGTGCGGATGGAGTCTTTCCGGCTGAAGAAGGACTGGCCGCCTGCAGAGGGTCGAGCAGAGAAAAACTGCTGATGTGGACAGACTGTCTGCTCTCCTAATTCAGCTGCTAGACTGCCACCTGCTGGCGGATTTCAGTACTTTGATTTCACATCAACAGATATTTATGTTTAACTGTTTTGGTATATTTAAATTTTAATATTTATTTTACTTTTTTTTGGAAACTTTACTTTTATTCCACGAGTAACAAAACTAAATTAGAACCTATATGTTACACAACATACGATAATACTTCATTAACACTAGTTTTCCTGGTATCACAGAACCACAGAAAGAACAGTTTACATGGGAAGAAGAACCAACGATGCTGGTTAATGATTAGAACCTGATTAACTGTTGAACCTGAATCTCTTGTAGGTGAAGTGAACCAATTTCCATAAATAAACACAAATGAAAAATTATTTTTTTTAATTGATTAATCTGTCAAGTATTTTTTTTGATGAATCAATAATCTGATGAACACTTTTTGCAAATTAAACCAAGTGAAAATAAAACTTTTCCACTTTAGGGAGTTCTGGATAGAAAAAGATTTTTATCTTAAATGCAAGATGTTTATATACATTTTTTTTTTACAATCTTGTTATAATTCCTGCTCTAAGTGGCTGTTTTAGAGTCTCTATACTTCATTTAACCATTAATAAATTACTAAATTAGTTGATGGTTATTTTAATAATCGATTAATCTGATTGTTTCAGCCCTAGTTGAGTTAATATCTAATTTATAAACATAACTAAAACAATTAATCGGATTAATCAACTGTTGAAAAAATCTTATATAAATTTAGTAATTGATTAATTGTTAAATGGAGTATAGAGACTGAAAAACAGCCTTAAGCTGACACAGCGACCCAATTAGAGCAGGAATTATACCAAAATTGTAAAAAAAAAAAAAATTAAATATCTATAAACATTTTGCATTTAAGATAAAAAGAAGTTTTTCTCTGTCAGTTTGCTTCATCCAGGCTCCTCTATTGGAAAAGGTTTAGTTTCACCTGGTTTCATTTCATAAAAAGTCTGTCGTATAAACTCTGTGTATACAAAAAGATAATAAAGTCTAAGTGTATCTGATTATTAATCTAAAAAAAAATAATCAACAGATTTATGGATTTGCAATCGTTAGTTGCTGCCCTGTTTCCACCTCACAGCTGTATTCTATGGAACCACATGTACACGAAAAATAAAAGCAAAACAGTTTTTCTACAGAACTGGTCTATAAATAATCAACACAGTAAATGCAAAGTAAAAAATATAGAACTGATCAATCCTTAAGATGATGACTATCAATTCATCATTATTTTGGCTTTCTTTTATAAGAAAGGCTTTTATCTTTTATAAAAGTTCGTAAAAAATATCAGAATGCCATAAAAAAAACTACAATAAAAACAATAAATCAACCAAAATATTTAAGTTCATCATTTAATCTAAGTGTAACAGACCTCCAGGTGTCTTTACAATATGTTCTATTTATTTCATTTTTTTGTATTTGTTTTCTAAACCTGCTTCAACGTTTGTTTTCTGAGCTGTTTGTCGTTTAACTGTTAATAAAGCCCTGAAAAAACTGAGCTGATGGTAGCAGTCTAATGATTCCGAATCAGAGGTTTTCTAATTAAATAGCATCACCATATTATTATAGTATGGAGATTAATTAAGTTGTTAGAGTGGCTGGAATTGAACTTTAGAGCAAGTTTTTGTATTTTAGAAGTTTAGATTTTCAGACCAATGGAGGATTTTTTTATTTATACCATTTGATGCAAAAAAAAAAAACTATCATTATGACTTGGGTAGAAATAAAAGAAAACCATTTTCTTTTTAGACTAGTTTACTCTGGTTTAACTTTTCCTCCTCAGTATTTAAAAAACAGCATCTGATTGAGTTTTTCTTTATAGATGGAAAAGGGAAACTTCTCCTCTGCTGCATTTTAATGAGTCGCTGTCGCCTTAATTAAAGGAATAGTACACCCAAAACATGATTAGCCTTCATTTTCTACTCACCCCCATGCTGAACAACACGCTGGAGTACTTTTTTGATATCTCAAATGCATCTGGAGATCTGGGAGGCTTCTTGCTGTCTGCTGACAT